GAGCGGGCATAACGTACCGGGTTATGAAAGCGGTCATGCGCGGATTGGTGTGAACGAGGAGAAACGAAAAATATATATGTGGCCTTCCCCTCCCTTGCTACATTGTATTTCTGTATGCCACCTTTGTATTGTATTTACGCAATACATCGGCACACATCTTTACTCTACTTCAAAATGATCGGTGAAGAAAACATAACGCAGGGTGGATCGGACCAGCATCTTAGGCCTTTTGAAATCCGACGGATGAACGGTACGCTACAGGTCGAAGCATATCTNATCGGTGAAGAAAACATAACGCAGGGTGGATCGGACCAGCATCTTAGGCCTTTTGAAATCCGACGGATGAACGGTACGCTACAGGTCGAAGCATATCTGGCATTATTTCAAATTCCATGAATTTATAGTACAGGCGGAAACAATGGTGGCAATACCACCCACGCTTCCGATAAGAGCACACTTACTCTGCCGTCCCCCCACGCAAAAAGCAGAAACTCCGAGTTTTGTCTTCCATTACCAATCGTTCAATGGCAAGTTTTTGGCCAGCTAAGTTTTGATGGTCCACAGCAGCAACACCGTATATACGAAGTATAGAATTATTTCATGCTGAGTGTGGAGGCCAGGATATCCGTATCTTCTTATACTTACACACGCACATACAAAGGGAGTGAAAAACATCCGACAGACGATAATTCATCGCTCTGCTCTGGATCTTTACTTTGTGGGTTATTCACCCCGACCTGAGTCGGGATGGATCTTTATGGTTGGTACCGAGAACCCAGGAAGGGTCTCAGCCGGCGCCCACTCGCAACCTTACCCTGGCCTTGGCTGAGTATAGTCGGGATGGATCTTTATGGTTGGTACCGAGAACCCAGGAAGGGTCTCAGCCGGCGCCCACTCGCAACCTTACCCTGGCCTTGGCTGAGTATGCTCAACCACCGCTTGACATTCCTCGTCACATTGCACCAAAGGAAATCAGCCAGCCTTCGGTGGTAGGCATATACCACCTCGCCATTTTGGGACCTCCGCTCACACTGAGTTGAGGGTATTCATAGGTACGCCAAATAGATTCCGTTCTTTTCTCGTTCTCAATATATCTGTGCCCCACGCTGTCAAGCAACGCCCTCCGCACCGGCACAGCAACCATGCCGGCCAGGAGGAACAGCAACCCATACTCTTCGAAGGAAAACCCCGTCTATGAGGCTCTGTCTGATGTGCAGGAGGACCTTAGGCTTATCCTTTACGACGTCCGAGGGAACACTCACGGCATCGCGGTGGATAATCTCGACTAAAGGAAGCACTTCGAAGGCGTCGAAGCTGCATGATCCCATCCTCAGCAATCCGCTGCCGTCACCGTCGCAGGTGTGCATTTTGCGCCCTACGACACGCCGTTGTTCGTTTGTCTTCGTTTCAGTTGGAGCCCTGTCGTGCACACCGGGTTAGAGCATCCACAGCAGTTGCAAGAATCCGTGTAACAGGGATCAACACTCCCTCCCTGAGAACAGGCGCGGCGGACACTAGAGATTGACTCTTTGCGCGCAATCGCTTCATCTGTTGCCCGTATCCAAATCCCCTCCTTGAGTGGCGCAGGGGGGTACAATTCCTTACCTTCCTGCCTCCCTCCTGGCTTTCTCTCGCTTACTGCGATCTCCCTCCTGCGTTTTGTCGCTAGTTGCACGTCACATGTTTTGCTGTCTTCCCCAACTTAAAAAAATTATTATTACAATCGGAGCAACAACCTACGGTGGCTACCACCCGGGCGTTCAGGATTTTTTGCTCCCAGGTTTACTCACATTTCTACAGCAGCAGTTTTTCCTGCGTTTTCCCTGTGGTTTTGGAGACAACACCTAGCTACACCAGCACACCCTGCGACGTGTCCCTGATACTGAGGAAAATTGTATCTCCACAGGTTCACGGAAGGTTTTTCGTCCATACATTTCCGTTTCTGTTGAAACTAATTTCCAACTCATTTTCGGTGTTTTTTCCATTTCCATTATTGGGCGTGCAACGGAACTGCCGTGGCACGCCCAACAATGGATAACCCCCTCAGTTTTGTAAATTTCCGGCACACACATTGAGTCGGTTGCGTACCAAAACTAACTCATATTCAGTCTCTGTATCGAACAGTTAAGACTATAGTCTATCCACCGAATCGGACCTCGGCCCTGCAGTGGAGGCTTCTTTGATTTCCAAGTGTGTTGTTTAACCTGCAGGAACTAACGGATTCAATGTCAAGGCGAATTCCTGTCCGATACGTTTGGCGCAGACGGAAAAGGAACTACCAGACAAGGAACTTAGCAAAGACTTCTTCACGGCAGCGCTTCTTCGCGGGGTACAGCCCGTAGCTGGGTTTAGGTGCCGGGACGCCCTTTATCACCGCGGGTGACGGCAACTGCCTGTTGAACGTCGTGGCCCAGCTATTCGCGAAAAAACCCCGCGGGATGAGGAACGAGATTAAATCCTTGGCGGCGAAGCTACGACTGAGCGTAACCCTCGAGGGGATGCGGCACATGGAGGCATACCTCTCTTGTCAAGAGGATTTCTTCATGTGTTGGTCCAACTACGGGGATGAAGTGCGAGAAGGACTGCCAAAGCTGGGGTGGACCATCGAGCCAGACGCGCACAACAAGCATCGACTGGGGTCTCGTAATTGTGCCCGGCTGATGTTCGTTGCGCAGCTCATCAAGCACGTTGCCGGGAATTGTAACTGGCTGCAGCAGTTCGCCTTCCCGTTGCTGGCGACCGTCATCCAGGCGCCCCTCCGAGGTTTCGTTCCGTGTAAATGTTATCTCTCCATCGTGAACCGTGTACTACATAGATAACGCCATCGCTTGTTCGCCAGTGCCATTTACTCAGACATGATACTGTTTTCAACGTCACACCAGACGCGGGAAGTCACCCGATGTGTCCAGTGTCTAGGGTTGGGAAGAGGGCCATTCTGTGGTAGTCAAACTACGGAGTTATTTGTCGCAAATGTCTGCAGTGGTTCCTGTGTGGCCTTTGTGGTGTCTTGTGTCTGTCCTACCGCAACCAATCATGTATGTCACAGTCTTGTCTGGTGAGCCTGGGTATCTGGACGTTGTGATGGGCCCATTGTTGATGTAGTATGTGTATGACGCACGTCGTGTGCCACGCGTGATAATCTCCGATATTTGCCCGATATGCTCATGGAGGTCCTCGGGGCGGGACATGTGTGCGTGTCAGCAGCAGCAGTGTCACGCAGGGCTCTCCCGGCTTCTACTTCCCGATGGCCCTTTGTACCGCAGACCACAGCCTGACGCCTACATACGGAGCGTCGCGGACACACTNGGGAAGAGGGCCATTCTGTGGTAGTCAAACTACGGAGTTATTTGTCGCAAATGTCTGCAGTGGTTCCTGTGTGGCCTTTGTGGTGTCTTGTGTCTGTCCTACCGCAACCAATCATGTATGTCACAGTCTTGTCTGGTGAGCCTGGGTATCTGGACGTTGTGATGGGCCCATTGTTGATGTAGTATGTGTATGACGCACGTCGTGTGCCACGCGTGATAATCTCCGATATTTGCCCGATATGCTCATGGAGGTCCTCGGGGCGGGACATGTGTGCGTGTCAGCAGCAGCAGTGTCACGCAGGGCTCTCCCGGCTTCTACTTCCCGATGGCCCTTTGTACCGCAGACCACAGCCTGACGCCTACATACGGAGCGTCGCGGACACACTCCCTGTTCCAACCGCTGTTCACCGTTCGGCCTGGGCGTACACACCCAGCAGTTCATGCGGTTATGACGATAATGTCCAGTGCGGACTACCGCCCTAACTTCAACGACGCGCCTGGTTGGCGGGACCGGAATGGCGGCGTTCTACCGGAGCTCAACCACTTTGTGTCGTTGTCTTCCGACACTGCTGCCGGAGCGCATGCCCGAGCCGTTGCTGCCTTTGCCGATATGGTTACAGCCGCGCGTGAGAGCTTGAAGAAAGCGCAAACCGCAGTGGCACAAGCTGAAGAGGCGATCTGCAGGAGACTCTTGTCGCCGACATGAGGATCGCTTTGAGGGAGGTACGAAGAAGGGTTCCATGCCGTTGGTGTACTTGTCTCTGCTGTTGTGGGCGGCACTGCTTCCACTTCTTGCGAGACACCTGTCCACTCCATCGCGTGTACGCTTGTTGACCTTAGGGCGTTTGTCCCTCCGTGCACCTCCAGGCTCGTGACATGTTGAAGATGCACGAAGAGAACCACGCACTTCTCACAGGCACCTACTTCGTGAGTTGACTACCCGTTCGTGTGTGATCGAATCTAGATAATTCTCCACAGTTGCCAAATCCTTGGCCTAGTTTTCTGGCGGCAAAGTTTGTTTGTGGGCTTTGTCGTGTGTCGTCTAGTGCTGTAGCTATTATGCATAGATGCCATGATCAGCACGGCTTCTTGCCACCGATCGAGGAAGCTTGGAGCGTTTGTTTCTCCAAACAGAACTCCCGATGAAAACCATGTGCGGCCGCCATCAGGTCTCGNATCAGCACGGCTTCTTGCCACCGATCGAGGAAACTTGGAGCGTTTGTTTGTCCAAACAGAACTCCCGATGACAACCATGTGCGGCCGCCATCAGGTCCCATTGGCTTCAACAGGGGCGGCGGCTAACGCCGAACAGGAAGCCCACAACAAATGCTTGGTGAGACCCTGGTTTGCGGCACAGCAGCCGATATTCCAGGGTACCTTTCGATGCAGCAGATATTGAGGATAACGTCGCTATGTTGCCGCGCAGGGGCCGAGATTCCATCCTACCTTTTGAACGTTGGAAGAAGCATAAAGCGAGGAATTCGTGGCCACTAAGAATGCAAGTGGAGTCTCCAATCACTCGCGTGCGTGGTCATGTTCGTGCCTTCCTCACCATCATCTTCAGGACGAAGAGTCCGTGGAGCGAAAGCGGAGGGAAGAGGCGTCTGAGGCCGAGGCGCGCTCCCGAAGGCGGAAACAACAACAGGGGGCGGCTGTGTTAAGATGATCCGAACTGGGGGTAGCTTGTCGCAAGACGTGTGTTGAATAGGGTGTCGGCAACTCGGCGAACTCGCGCCAAGGAGGAAAGACGTGTAGGGTGTGTTGCATAAACTTCTTTTTTCACATGACCTCACATGAACTCACATGAACTCACATGAACTCACATGAACGCACGCGTGCACGCACCACCATGAGGGGGCGACGCAGTATACAACAGGGGTACCTTGCACACCCTGGAAATACATTCCACGTTCCACACAATCCTACAACCACTTGGCATTGCTACAAGTATATCTATCAGCCCCCCTGCTTGTGACCATGCCATGTCTTTTTCCATCCTAAATAACTCCAAAACACAAGAAAATAACAATAAGATCAGAAACTCAATTCAACTCCAGAACAATACCCTCACTGGCTAGACATCAATAACCATCCCCGATCATACCAGTTATACTTCTTCGAACTTCAGTGAACTAGTTGCTCCCCAGCCTAGAACATCATCCATTGAGAAAAACCATAGGCAAAAATGTAAAATGTTGCCACCCCAGTTGTTGTTTGATCACACACAAAATATATCCAAACACCAATATATTAATCCATACTCATCACGTAGTTACGATGAAACTCAAAATCTCCCGCGTGAAGTGCTTTCGTGAGAAAATCAGCATGTTGATACGCCGATTCCACGTGAAAAATCGATATCTCCTTCCTGCCTACCAGTTCCCTGATAAAGTGGTGCCTTACGTCGATGTGCTTCGAGTTACTGTTGCTTATCGGGTTTTGCGCCAACTGAATAGCCCCTTGGTTATCCTCGAACACCGGAATACATGGCATGCCTGCTTCTGGTAACATGAAACGCCACACCTGCCTCAGAAACAACACTTCCTTCATCACATCCGCAAGAGAGACATACTCCGCCTCTGTCGTGCTCAACGTAACGCACTTCTGGGTCCTTGAAAACCAAGAAATACATCCCCCCCACACATCACCGATTCCCCTGACACAGACCTCCTATCGGCAGCCTTACTTGCATAGTCTGCGTCTACGAACACCTCCATGCTTAATCCTGCTACACTACCCCTCCTGAATGTAATACCCAAGTCACTAGTCCTTACCACATACCCCAAAATACCAAGCCCTGCTCTCCAATGAATCTCTTTTGGAGAGGCACAGTACCGTGCCACCGCTCTTACTGCATTCGCGATATCTGGCCTCGTTTGCGTTGCCAGCCACATCAATGATCCTATCAGCTCACGAAAAGGCCATGATACCACTTCCTCATCCTGGTCAAACTCTGAAAGCTTCAACCCTACAGGAAGAGGAATTTCCTTCCCGTACTCTACCCCAAACTCCATCCCCAACTCTTCAGCGTACGTCTGCTGCGAGATCTTCAAAGTTCCTGCATCCCAATCTCTCTCATAAAAACATCCAGAGTACCATCTCAAATCCCCAAGATTCTTCACAGGTACCATGGTGTTGAGGTCCCTGCCAAACTGGTCACACCTCTCCTCTTCTCCTATCGAAAATATATCATCTACATGTACCACCAGAGTCACTACCACTCTTCCCTCCTCAATCAACCGAAACACACACGCATCCGCCATGCACTGAATAAAACCAAAACAAATCAAACACCTCGCCAAGTGTGAATGCCACTGCCTTGATGCCTGCTTAAGGCCATATAGACTCTTGTTCAACTTCACGATCATACCTGATAATCTACCACACCCCTCTGGCAGACGCATAAAAACATCCTCATCCAAATCCGACTGGACAAATGCCTGCTTGATGTCAAAATGACGGAGAGAAAGATTTTGCTCACACGCCATCGCTGCCAACAAGCGAACGCTAGAAACCGCTACAGTCGGTGCATACGTCTCTCCACAATCTACATGTACTCGCTGCATATCTCCTCTCGCTACTAGCCGTGATTTCACATTGGTTGGCCATCCATACTCATCAGATTTCCAATCAAACACCCACTTCGCCTTGATAACACTTTCTGGTTGCTACATTACTTCCTCAAAGGTACCAGCCTCCATCAGGCCTCTGAACTCCTTCTCTACAGAGTGTATCCACAAGTCAGCATGTTGAGAGGACACAGCCTCCCTATACGTTTTGGGTACGCGCAAGTCGCTCGCATAGCACTGTGGCAAGTCCGGTGCCACTTCCGGGGGATCTAAATCCCTCATCGCGCGATCAATGTCCTCGCGGGAGGCAAGCAAGGTGGCGCACGCAAATGGGACTTCTTCACGCAGTCCTTCTGTTTTCGTGCCCTCCCGCTCTCGCCCCCCCGGCTCCGCTCCATCACGTCCTCCGGCTGAACTCGGGATCTCCTTCCTCCCCCCATCGACGATGCTGCGAGTGGTTAGAGTCGACAGGAGCGTTGCCTTGTCCTGCAGGGAAACAAGACCGAAGCGGTGGGCGAGAGCGTCGCCGCTCCCGCCAGGTGACGTCGACCGCTCGGCCCCCCCATCCTGAAAACGCACCCGCCGACCCCTCAACCTCCCTGGCACCAGCTCTCGTCCCAAGTCCAGCTCTCGATTGGCCCTGGCAGAGAGGGGCGGCATTGACGACGCACGCCCCCCCCCCTGGTCCTTAGCGGCTGCCCTCGTGCGCCCAGAAACCCTCATGTCGCCGCGCCCCACGTCCAGTTCACGGATGGTCCTCGTAGTGAGCGGCGGCATGTTGGTGGAAGGCGCGGCACCGGGCGGCACGGCGGCGGGAGACGGTATTACTGACGGTGCAGCGGCGGTGGTGAACGGTGAGGCCGGAGGCGAGGCGGCAGTGGTGAACGGTGTCGCGGCGGCGAACGGCGTTGCAGGCGGCGCGGTGGTGGTGAACAGTGGCGCGGCGGCGAGCGGCGTTGCAGGCGGCGCGGTGACCGGTGGCGGTGGTGTGGCTGCGGTAGACGGCGCCGCCGGCGATGGTGGTGTGGAAGTTGCCGGCGGCGCCTGTGAGAGTATGGCAGCGGGTGAAGTGGGAGGTCGGGCATACGGTGAGGGGGGTAAGAGAGGCGGTGAAATATACTCAATTAGAAACGGTGCGGCGGCGACATTCGAATCTCCCCCCTCGTCCGCCGGCGCCGGCAGCTCCAGCGGCGGGGTCAGCAACGGCGCGCGGTCGGAGACCCACACGACGTTGTTCGTCATGCACACGCGCCCCGTCGCGAACTTGAGGACCTTGACCGCCGACTCGTGATGGTTGTCGCCGTTGTTGAGGTAGCAGCACAGCACTGCCTGGGGATCCATCTTCCTCGCGCGCGTCACACGCATATACCCCGGCTGCAAGAATGGGACGATCTGGAGCGGTGGCGGGCGACCGGTGAAGAGCTCGTGCGGCGACTTGTACCCGACGTTTGCCTTGGTCGGAGAACGGTTGAAGCCGCCGGCAGCCCAGTGACACGATTCTAGCCAGAGTCGCTCGCCATCGCGCCCGAAGCCGGGGACGCGGGTGAAGTCGATCTTGGGGAACAGGCGGGGTGCCTCGAGACGAGCGGCGTGGCCGGCCTTGTTCACGCGCCAGATCGCACTCTCCGCCGGACCATTCTGCTGCGGGGTGCCCGGCGCCGTGTACGTACGGCGGATGCCGGCGTTGTCACAGAAGGCGATGAAGTCGCGTCCGATGAACTCCCCCCCGTTATCCATCCGGGAAGAGCGAGGGACACCGGTGCCACTCATGTCGGCGAGGAACTTCTTGACGAAGGCGAGGGTGTCCGACTTGCGCCTCATCCCGTACAGCTTCATCCACCGCGAGAAGCTGTCCACGAACATAATCATATAAAACGAACCCCCCAGCGAGGCCGTCATCGGCCCACACAGATCGATGTGCCAAAGATCGTGCGGCCGCTCCGCGCGCGTGCCCAATTGGTGAGGCACGCCCGCCTTCTTCCCCTTCGCCTGCAGGCATCCACCACAAGGCTGCAGGACACCGGTCAGTCGGAGACCGTGCTGCTTCGCAAGCTCACGCAAAAGAAACTCATTGGCGTGGGAGGACGAAACATGGAGAAGGTTAACGTCAATAATCTTGGTGGGTTTCCCCACCGAAAAAGGGCGCTTGCCCGGGGCCATAACGGGAACGGCGAAAGCAACATCATCGAAGACATTGGCAAATCCAGACTCAAACATCAAGTCTAAAAACTCGTAGGGGTCATCCGATTCTTGTCTTTGTTCTAAGAGGTACAAAGCCCACTCGTAATCTCTCTGCTCTGTGAACGGAATAACCCACGGTCATCATCCTCACTATTCTCTTGAAAGACGGTGACGTCCGGCGATGGCAACCCGGGAACAGCGACCAACTCCACACCATGCGGCACTTGAGGAGCGGAGGGAAAAACCATACTCCTGTCAGCGGGGGAGGGGGCATACACTGTCGAAAGAACGACGCTGCTCGCAGCGGGCGGGATATTGATCACAGACGATGGCACTACGCTGTTTGCAGCGGGCGGGAAACCATACACCGTGGAAGGTACTA